AAAATACATAAAAAAATCAATACTTTTTTTTTTTTCAAAATCCCAATTACAATTCCATATTTCATTAAATACACCTTTACAAAAATCATAGATATTAATAAAGAAAAGTCCGTTTTGATTTACACAACATTTCATTAATTAATGTATGTTTTCCTTGAAGTTAATATATAATACAATCTCTTTGGTTCATGTCATCCCCTTTCTTTATTTTGCTCTGTAAAGCGTTTTGCATATCTAATTTTGAATAATTTATCTTCGTGCAGACGTCTCTACTGACTTTTTGAAAGATGCTGGAAATAAATTCATCTATAATAAAAGGATAAATCAAAACAATATTCTATTGAAGTTTTCTAAAGTTATTTTGATTGTTTATATTATATCACGATTTTATCACAATTATTTTTGCATTGAATTTAGTAACGACATTACGTAAATTTATGACCAAATATAGATTCTATTAAAAGATTCGACTAATCCTATTTTGCATTAAAAATATAATTATTATAATATGTTTACTTTAGGCGGAACATTTTAAATAAAATTTAATACATATATATTAATAGCTAGTTAGTCTTACAATATTATATCGTATTATATATTCTTAAATCAAATATTTCACCTTTTGTACTAAAAATTTTAATTTTTAATACAAATATTTTTAGATATCTTAGTTAGTTGTTATCAACCTTAAAATGGGTACAACTTTTCCGTGTGTCAAATCAAACTGTATTGAAACGGTCTCAATGTTTCTGTCATAAAACCGTAGCAAAAAGATAAATACAAAGTCTATTGAATGTGCAATATTAGCTTCGTGGCTAGATGTAGTAATTAACGATTTGATCAGTCACTTACTTATGTTTCACTTTAATTTGGGTTATGTATGTATATAAAAAAATTATAGATGTCTGCAGCTGTACAAGGTTTATTTCAAACAAATTTTTCACTTTTATTTCTTTAAGTTGCGAGTGTCGACTTTAAAATGTTTATGAACCGTTGTTAACATTGAACATAATATTTTAAATAGTAGAAAATTGAGATCGTTCGATGAAATTGTATCATAACTATAACCAATAAATATGACGGGTAACACGAGCTAATTATTTACATAAATTGCAACTTTTGATGACATTTCCACAACAGACGATTTCCAAACAATTAACATGTTATTGCCATAACTAACGATGTCACAGTCGTTGTTATTGATGTCAGTTTGTGACATGTCATTACAGAATATCTGCAGATTACATCTCGTTAAATGGACATGTTATAAATGACAATTAAGTACAATATTCAAAAAAAATAATTTATTAAAGAGATTTGTTGTAAGTATAGAAATTTATCAATCGTCTGCTAAGGGAGTTGTTAAAATAAAAATGTTAAAATTATTATGATTATTTATTGAAATGTTGTAGACATTTGTGTAGATCCTAAAATACGTAAAGGGCAAATTAGAATTATAAAATTACTTAAAACGGAGTAATTTGAAGTTGTATAATGTTTACTAAAATTCACTGCTTCGTAAATTCAGTAATTAACTACATATTTATTATGGTAGAGACTTAATTAGAAAAAAATAATATGAGACTATTTTTGCAATTCACAATAACACGAGTAATGAATATAAATAATAAAACTTTTTTCATTACAGTTACAGACAAATATTTGTTAAATCTTTGTAAAGTGTTGTAATTTGTAAAGTTTCATAAAAGTTGTTTTGTTACGGGCCCGCCGCTCGTGCATGAGGGCGCGGGTACCAAACCTGGCAAATACTAATGTAATTTTCCTAATCATATGTTTTTTTTTAAGAGTACTTAGACACCGCTGACAGGTGGTGGAGCAAGACATTGTGAGGAAACCTGAACTTATAATTAAAAATTATAAAGTTTGAAGTCGCCAATCGCTGATCTATACTGATATATTTCTTTTGCATATTAAATTTCTAGTAAAAAAGAACTAGTGAATCTGTTTTATTTCATTATATAGACAGAAAGGGCATTGTGAAATAATTTTAAACTAGATCTGTAATTCACAATCGCGTAATAAAATTACAAAGTGTACGTATCCATATTCAAACTTGGTAATTGGGTGGAGGATATGCCTTTTGACATTAATAAATACAATTTACTGACTTTGACAGAAGTATCCATTAATATTTATAAATAAATAGAAAATAATGTTTGTTTGTTTGCATTAAAATCATAAAACTGTGATTTTTGATAAGTAACGTATAGAAGTGCTTTTCATACCTTTATTCATAATAGTATTATTGACAAGTGTATCTCGTGTATAGTTTATGAGGGTCACTCATTTAAATCTATGTATAAAACCTTTTTTTCTCTAAAAAGGACTTTGCTTTTAGACATGGAAATATTTAAATGTTCTCTCGTTAATTAAAAACCAGTTAACCTTTTTTAATAAATGGTTCTGTTTCTTCTTATCTCTATTTTTATAGGATTAGTTAAAGATAAAAAACATATAAACAATGTTTTTAATCAAGTGAAGGAAGCCAAATTATGGGGTGTTATAAATTTGACATCGGTGTTATGAGTGCATGAGTGAGGGCAGGGTCCTCTCAAAAAAAATCAACCGATCCGATGTGTTTATTTCATTTAAAAATCAATTTGATTGCTATGATTTTTAGCTATTTAGTTATTACATACTTCGTCAAAACGCAAAAAATTCTTAAGTTGAAAACAGAAATTCGATGTTATTTACATTAAAAAAAGACTAAGAGAAATAAAAATCTTTATGAAAAGTGTACGGAATCTAGCAAGTTTGTACTAATTTGAGACTGTGTCTAATATAACTTTAATTCTGTAACACCTATAAATAGCTTCTATGCTAAAACCAAAGATATGAGAACATATTTTTAAAAGTAATGCTATTTAATAAATGACTTTGTTTATATTGATTAATTTTCATAAAGCATGCACATGCACATTTATGTATAGCCTAAATGAGTATAATTCTTTATTTCCTGTATTTAACTGCATGATTCAGTTTATTTTTTGGGTCAGAGGGTGCTGTGATCGCCGCCCATATCAAGCTTAATACGTTAGTTCTGGCATCGCTCCAGTCATATAATTGGGTCAATGTTCAGCCATATGAGGCATCTATGAAGGATGGTACGGAATATGTCTTTACCGCAATTTGGTATTATGACATAAGAATTGGCTAACTTCGTTACTTTGTTTTAAGCGGATTTTTAATATTTATTCGAACATTCTACAGTTTTAAAGTGTATACAGCCGAACTCCTGTTACTTTGGTTAAGTATATTTCGAAAGTAATAAATATTTTGATGTTTTATAAAAAAATATGTTTTTTTATATTTTTTATACAACATATTAATATAACGGATCCGGGAAAAGAGATTAACTGTAGTTTTTTGACGGCAGATAAAACATTAGCTAGTAGAAGTAATAGATATAACATTAGAATCTACAATGAGTGAAAAGTCATTAATTTTTCCTTTTTTAAAATTATTTTCTGTTCCTTGATGTCAATGTTTAGTGGCAAACTGTTTACTTTAAGTTTAAGGTCGTTCGGAAGTAATAAATATTTTTTGATTCGAGGGTGATGGACATCCAATAAAATAGTTCAAGGTTCGTCGTATGTTGTATCGTAGAAAACCTGAATACAGTCGGGGCTTAGGAGGTTGTCAAACAATTAAATCGTACAGACACTGTAACGGAATAGGTCATCCAAGAGAAACTTGATTTATAAAAGCGACATAAATCGTAAAACCTTGTATGCCAAAGCCAAAAACTTTAACACAAACATGTCTGGTGTTTTAGTCTCTTACAGTGCATTCGACGAGAAACAAAAATATAATTTACAACTATATGTTTTTGTCTTCTAATTTAGTTAAATTAATCATCTCTCCTTTTATTCAACTTGTGTTTAATCCCAATTATTTCTGTCAATAAAAAGATACAAAATAACAAATAACATTAGTAATATTCAGGATTAAGGAACAAATATTGAGTCAACAAATGACAGGAAGCCTATTTAGCATTTAGTTAGAGTCATCCAATAAGCCAATTTATGTTAAGAAGGGTGGCGTAAACAAATTACGTACCGCAAAAATATATCTTCAGGCAAATCGTTTTCAATACTTCGTGACGTAAATTTTTTATATATGGCTCGTACCTTGTTACACTACATATATATAGTTATTTATCATTTTAAACTTATATACGAATAATCTAGTGCATGTCGTTCTTGTTGTCAAACCACTATGTTCATGTCTATTAAATGTTTTCTCAGAAAATTACTCAATTACTTGTGTTGTTTATTTGAAAATTTGTACACTATTTCTTTGATAAGTTTGAGAGTCTGTCACAAAAGGTCTAATTTTTACAAATAAAAAAAGACCATCTAATCTCAATCATTGGAGATAACGACAGGCAATCGGTTTGCAAGACACAAAGAGATTTAAAAATATAATTTACTAGTTCTTTTAAACACAATACCTAATGAAGTTAAAGGAAAACTAAATACGATTATCATTTAGACTCTTCAATCGTGTACATGTATTTTTATAGACCCACGGACATTAATTAATACCATTATCTAATATATATGGCTATTGCTGAATTAATTTAAAGCAATAGTAACAGCTACATGTCCTTATGATATGATTTACGGTAATGCAAAGGCTTTCTCGTTCAATAGATTCCCCTTTACTTCACAATAAAACCTTAATAGCAGTTATCCTTATTATTAACCTTATTAACCTTATCCAGAGGGTGTCCTGCTAAGTATTTTTCCGATATTTGGTTTTGGGCATACGGGTGCGCGACCCCGGATCCTCGAGCCACCACTTTCATACCTTTATCTCCAGTCCATGAAGGTGGTGTCCTGTACCTTCCCTTCATTCCCATTCCAATCCTCTTTCCCCTCCCCCTCTCTATCTTTATCCTTTTCTGGTTTTACCCGTTTAACGGGGTTTTGGAGGTCAGACGGCAGTCGCTCCAGTAAAACCATAAAGCCACTAATATGGATAGACAGGACAAGGAACTGGGTACGGCTAGGGCGTCGCCGTTAAACGACGCGCAGGCACATCGCCCTAAACCTGTGACAAGTGGGCAAGGGCTACCGTGTCAAGTACGGGCACGGCTAAAGACGCGAGTACCCAAACGGAAACTCCGCTTTGCAACGTGGAACATTGGCTCTCTAACCGGACGATGCAGAGAACTCGCAGATGTACTCGTGAGACGTCGGGTCCAGTGTGCGTTCCTTCAGGAAACTCGCTGGAAGGGCAATAAGTCTCGCAACATCGGACAGGGTTACCGGCTGATATACACTGGGTCGCCTTCAGGTAAAGCTGGTGTAGCAGTAGTTCTATCTGAAGAGCTTCAGAATGGTCTTCTTGAAGTCGACCGCCGCTGCGACCGTCTGATGCGGGTGCGGGTACTGATCGAGGGAGTCATTACTAACTTGATCAGTGCCTATACTCCTCAGGCGGGATGTAGTGGGTCGGAAAAAGAGTCATTCTGGGAGCAATTTGAAGAGGTTCTACGCGCTATTCCAGCTGCTGAAGTAATCATAGTTGGGGGGGACTTAAATGGCCACGTAGGTAGGGCTGCGGATACGTACGAGCGTGTACACGGTGGTTTTGGTTATGGTCGCCGCAATGCAGAGGGAGAAACTATTCTCAGAACCTGTATTGCGTCTGATTTAGCCGTCGTGAACACGTTCTTTCAAAAGACTTCGCAGCACCTTATCACGTATAAAAGTGGGTCCCACTCTACCCAATTAGATTATCTGCTGACCAGACGGTGTCATATCGGCAAGGTGACTAACTGTAAAGTCATTCCTGGTGAAAGCCTGACAGCCCAACATCGTCTTCTTGTCATGGACTTTGTTGTTACCCCGAAAAAGAAAGTAGCCGAGAAACGTGAGCCTCGGATCAGGTGGTGGTTGCTGAATGGAACGATGCAGACCAACTTTCGGGCAGCAGTTGAGAGTCAAAATCTGTTGACCCATACCGAATCTGCTCAGGAAGCTTGGGATCGAGTGCAGTCAGCAATTATCACGGCAGGTAAACGAGTTTTAGGTCTTTCTAGGGGGGGACGGGTCATCGACAGGGAGACGTGGTGGTGGAATGACGAAGTGCAGGAGGTGATTCGCAAAAAAAAGGCTGCCTTTAAGGAGTGGCAGCAATCACACTCTCCTGAAGACAGACTAGAGTACATAGCAGCGAAACGTGCCAGTAAAAGGGCTGTTGCCAGAGCCCGCAGTGACAGGTTATCACCGTTATATGATACACTTGAAACTGCGGAGGGGCAGAAGCTCATTTACAAATTGGCACGAGCTCGGGATAAAGCGACTCAAGATATTGCAAAATGTCTTTGCGTCAAAGATTCCCAGGGCACGCTGTTGTGTAATCATGCCTCTGTGAAGGAGAGATGGAGATGCTACTTCAAGGAGTTGCTAAATACTCAGCACCCGTGCAGTCTTCCTACCGAACCACCTCCTAATCTTGGACTTATTGCCCCGATAACGCCTGATGAAACTCGGAATTGTCTTCGACGCATGAAGAATCGGAAAGCGGTGGGACCTGACGATATTCCGATCGAAGCGTGGAAATCATTGGGCTCTCTTGGTGTGCTCATACTGACGGACCTTTTCAACCGCATCTTGAACACTGGGACTATGCCACATCAGTGGCGTTATAGCTTCATTACCCCCATTTACAAAGGCAGGGGCAGTGTTCAGGATTGCGGTAGTTATAGAGGCGTTAAGATCATGAGTCACACCATGAAGCTCTTTGAGCGCATGATCGACCTCAGGCTCCGCCGAGAGTGTACTGTCTCGGAGTGTCAATATGGATTTCAGCCTGGATCGGGCACCTTGGACGCCATTTTTGCCATCAGAACCCTGATGGAGGCATACAGGGAAAAAAGGAGAGCTCTGCATGTCGCATTCCTAGATCTGCAGAAGGCCTTTGACTGCGTGCCTCGTCAATGTATCTGGTGGGCTTTGCGAACCAAAGGGATCCCTGAGGCCTATATTGACATCATCAGAGACATGTACCGCGATTCCGTTTCCATGGTTAGGACTGCTGTTGGCGATACAAAACCCTTCCCGATCTCAGTAGGGGTGCACCAAGGCTCGGCTCTTAGCCCGTTCTTATTCAATGTAGTGCTGGACACCGTCTCGGCTAACATCCAGGACCAGCCTCCATGGCTGATGATGTATGCCGATGACATAGCGCTCATTGACGAGGACCGGCTGACGCTGGAGCGGAGAGTGAACCTTTGGAAGGGTGCGCTTGAGAACGGTGGTCTTAAACTAAATGTGTCGAAGACCGAGTACATGGCTTGCGGGAGCCCGGACTCTTGCACCATCCATATAGGTCCTGAACCAGCCGTTAAGTCGGAGAAGTTCAGGTACCTTGGATCTATTCTGCATGAGTCCGGAGGCATCGATCACGATGTCCAAGCCCGGATCAGCGCTGCTTGGGCGAAATGGCGTGAGGTCACAGGTGTGGTCTGCGACCGCAGAATACCGCCCAAGCTCAAGGGACTAATATATAAGAGCATAATCCGTCCGGTTCTCTTATATGGCAGCGAATGTTGGCCAGTACTGTCCAGGCACACTCAAGAGCTTCACGTCACGGAGATGAAGATGCTGAGGTGGATGTGTGGCGTTACGCGGGCTGACCGCATACGTAACACATTCATCCGAGGTAGTCTTGGAGTCCGTGACGTAGCGGATAAGCTTGAAGAGAGTCGCCTGAGATGGTATGGCCACGTTGCACGCCGGCCTGAGAACTACGTCGGAAGGATTTGCCTTGATATGTGTGTCCCTGGAGCGAGACCCCCAGGACGCCCAAAGAAGCGATGGCTGGACACCGTGAAGCAGGACATGAGAGCCAATGGATTAACCACCGAGGATGCCAAAGACCGGGCAAAGTGGAGGCGTTTGTGTGGGAAGGCAGACCCTAGCTAAAGCTGGGAAATTGCCAGGAAGAAGAAGAAAACCTTAATAGCAGTTACATACATTTTCTGATCCGATTTTTCAATGTTCACACAAAACTACAAAATACAGTTTGAAAGAAGGTGCTGATGAATCTATCGTTAACTAGAAACATTTGGGTAGATATGATTAAATAAAAAAATAAAAGTCTTTATTATTGATATACATACATTAGAACTGGAAGTAGATATAGGAATTATGAACATATTTAAGTTTAAGAATGAGACATGGTTCTCTTACTATTTGACATGTTTTCTTAAAGTATAAATGTATGTAAGAAAATCTTTTAAAATTAAGAAACAAGAAAGTGACAGGATCGATATGTAAAGGCTATGCAATCAGCTCTTTGATTTAGTCTTGAAGTCATCTTAAGATCCACTATAATCATACTTCTTTGAAACTAACATAGTTTTACTACTACTAATTTTATATTTAGGGAGAATAATGTAAAGCTTAAAGTACAAGTTATTTTAAAAAATATTAAATATCCTCGTAATGCTTTTAAATACTTTCTAATCATAGAAATAACGGGAAATTGGCTACTTTTATGGGCCATACACGGCAAACGAGCAGACGTTCCAGGTGATACATGGTCACCATCGCTCATTTAAATTTTTTACCACAAAGTGTTAATATAAATTTAAATGGAGCTAATATTTTTCGGATTATACTAAGCGTATTTTATGTGACCGTGATCACGGTCGCTGAAAAGTAACCGAAACGTTGGGATAATGTAGATTTTAAAACAGTAAAATACTCGTAATACAATTAGAAAAATATTAGTTTCATTTAAAAGAATACTAGCGTAAGTCTTAGATCTCGTTAACAAACGTTGCCGGATTTGAAAGTGAGAAGGTACCTTGAGTGATGGCTTGACTTGATGAATTTCAAAAAACTCCGTCTTGTATATTTTTAAAGGTTTTGACTTCAGGCATAAGTTTTATTTCAATCTTTTAATGACTGGTTAAATTATTCGCTTAGAAAAAAGCTTTGGACTGAACTGTACAATCCCTCGAGTAGTTCATAGGATAGAGGAGCTTTGTGACAGACCGTAAATTGCGAAATTGCGAAATTGCGAAAATTGCAAATTCACATTGAATCTGGAAGGTTATGATACTGTGTAACCACAATTTTTAATTTTTGTAGGTACTACGACATAGTGGAAATATACTAATTAGTTAGTGAAAGTCTTGGCAAATATATCCTTGATCTGAACTGAAGGCTGAGCTTTATCTGTTACTGAAATAATCAGGACCACCAGGCCTTATTCGTAAGTTCTGGGACAGCCTCCTTAACTGGAACAGTCAAGGTTCCCAACTGTGTCTTTGTTTCTCCCTTTCTTTAAACACGATGTTACCTTTAGAAAGCTTCTATTAATTCCAAACACTAATTATTTTTGAAAGTGTCTCTTGCCACTTTAATTCTATGTCATGTTGTAAAACTTTCTCTTAGTGCAATCTATTCTTGCATTTATTATAGTCATAGTTTGTTACAAATAGTTATTAAGGTATAATGAATTTAATATTAAAGTATGACAATTACATTTCGTCACCATACTTTTAAAACGTGGTTTTAAACAGTTATGGGAAAGTAAATTATATTTCTATTTTAGATCACACAAATGTATCTTAAGATTTTCAAAACCATCTTTTGCTTTTCTCTTTTTCTTGTATAGATATAACAGAAAGAAGATGAACGCTGTGTAATCTATTAAGCTGTGTTTTATCGGTATTGATACCGGAGCATATATGTAGTTCCTATTTTCTCTTACATCAATAGATTTTGCTAAGTATAGCTAGGGCTGTGAAAAATCTTTCATGTTAATTCGACGGTCTACTTGTTTATGGATAACATAATAGAGGAAAACAAACACACGTTTATTTATAAAACGCGTTCCGTTTCATCCATTAAAATAATGTTTCTATCTACAAAAGTTTTCGACAGCCCCACTTGGGTTTAGAGTGATATATGTTAGTAATATGTTTTTTGGAAGGTTTCCCAAATTTATTTTTGTGATCCATACGATGTTTAAGATTTATATTTTACAACGATAAATGAAAGTCTACTATAATGAGGTAATTTATTTAAACAAATCTTTTAATTTTTTCATTTATATAATTTTAGTGTATGTGTGTATATCACTGCATTATCCTAAACGGCTGGACCATATTGAATGAAATTTTATTTAAAAACTATTATGTAAGATGTTTATTATGTTTTGGATATGTTTAATAAATGCACAAAATATATGTATGTTAGATGAGTTGAATGAAATACCACAAACCGAAATGGAGGCAGAGAGACCACACTATTTAATGTTTAATTGGTTTTGGTAACTAGGTGGTGTATGCTTCAATATTATACATACTGTGTTAATGATTAAATGTAGATCATTTTAGTATTAATTGCGTTCGCAAGTTTAACTAAAAGAGAAACAAAGAGTCGAATAAAAAAGAACGTATGATAATTTCAATGCCTGTAAAGGAGTATTGTTAAATTAGAGAAAAAATATATTTTTGTAACAGAACATTGACATATATATGCATTACAACGATTCAGGTATCAAGTTAATTATTTATACTTCTTCCCAGCATAAACAATTGATTCTCGGTAATATTTATACTACTGTGAAATCTTCTTGGTTTATCAATATGAAGTTGTAATGATAAGAAAATAAACTCTAAGAATGATTTTATTAACTGGTTTGTAACACAAGGTGTTTGTGAATTTATCAGAGTGATTCGTATTTCTTCATTGTATCAAAAAGTCGTTAACGAGTCACAGTTAACGAGTTCGCGGCGAAATATGAATAAATAGTAAATGTAACTCCAAAATGTAGTTTTGCTATGAGGAACGTAGTTTAAAGTACTTCAAAAATACATATTTTGTTCATGTAAAATTATGTAACAGTTTCATATTTTTTGAATTTTAATTTTAATTAAGTCATTGCAATTTTATTTTTTAGTTAAGTACTTTTTACAACCCTATACTAACAACAGGAAGAATCGCTTTTTTAAGGAGATACTACACTTATATTTATTATTACATATTTCTTGTAATATTGCCTTTACATTATAGATACAGTTATTGACTAAGTCTTTTTATTTTATCTAGCATTTATAATATATATAGATATGAGTATCACTTAACATAATTTGAAGGAAAGTTTGTTATCATATACAAACCCTTGAAAAGAATTATTGCAAACCAGATAAGTATAATTTTATTAATTATCTTAAATCTTAAATTATGTTTAATATATAACCAAAACTTTGTGGCTTTTTCAATTGAAATAGATGAAATGGGAGAGAGAATAAGTAATGGTTTCTGTATATTAAACTAACGAAAAAAATATGCAAGTCCATATTTCATTAAATTACCTTTACGAAAGTTATAGATATTAATAAAGAAAACTTCTTTCGATAAACACTATGCTTCATTAATTAATATGTTTTCCTTGAACTTATAAATATTAATACAATATCTCTGGTTCCTGTCATCGCTTTTCTTTATTTTGCTCGGAAAGGCGTTTTGCATATCTAATTATTGAATAATTTATCTCCGTGCAGACGTCTCTACTGACTTTTTGAAAGATGATGGAATGAAATTCATCTATAATAAAAGGATAAATCGAAACAATATGCTATTGAAGTTTTCTAAAGCTGTTATGATTATTTATTTTAATTTTTCCGCGATGACATTAAAATTATTTTGCATTGAATTCACTAAAGGGATGTAAAATGAATTGATCACAAAATATAGATTTTATTAAAAGATTCGACTAATTATATTTTGTAAAAAAAAAGTTATTATAACATGTTTACTGTATGCGGAACGTTTTTATTATAATTTTAAAATTGAATACGTATATATTAATAGTTAAACTTACAATATTATATTGTTTTATATATGTATTCTTAATTTAAATATTTCACCTTTTGTATTAAAAAGTTTAATTTTAAATACAAATATTTTTAGCTGTTTATAAAATTACAAGAAACGGAGTAATATGAAGTTTTATAATGTTTAAAAAGTAATTGATTTGTAAATATTCTCAGTAAATAATTATTCATTATGGTAGAGACTGAATTAGAAAAAAAAATGTATATGAGACTATTATTGCAATTCAAATAACACGAGTAATGAATGTAAATAATAAATCTTTTTTCATTACAGTTACAGACAAATATTTGTAAAATCATTGTAAAGTCGTGTAATTTGTAAAGTCTTATGTTGTTTTGTTAAAGACCCGCCTCTCGTGCATGAAACCTGGCAAATACCAATGTAATTTGTCTGGCTCATATATTTTTTTTAAGAATACTTAGCCACCGCTGACAGGTGGAGAAGCAAGACAGCGTGATGAAACCTTAAATTATGATTAAAAATTATAAGGTTTGAAATCGCCAATTGCTGATCTATATTGATATATTTCTTTTGCATATTAAATTTCTAGTAAAAGAGAACTAGTGAATCTGTTTTATTTCATTATATAGATAGAAAGGGCATTGCGAAATAATTTAAAACGTGATTTTTAATTCACAATCGAGTAATAATATTACGAAGTGTACGTAACCACCCAATAACCACGTTTGAGTATGAATACTCAAACGTGGTTATTGGGTGTAGGATATGCCTTTTGACATTAATAAATACAATTTACTGACTTTGACAGAAGTATCCATTTTTATTTATTTAAAAAGGGATATAAATAAACTTTAATGTTTGTCTGCCTTTCCTGCATAAAACTGTGATTTTTGATAAGTAACATATATATACATAGAAGTGCTTTTCGTACCTTTATTAATAATAATATTACCTATTTGTAATAGGCGAGAAGATTCATTTAATCTTTTGATTTATATTTAATGACGAGTGTATCTTGTACAACTTGTATAGTTTATAAGGGTCACTCATTAACATGTATGTATAAATCCTTTTTCTCTAAAAAGGGACTATGCTTTTAGACGCGGGAA